ATTATACTTGCTGGCACAACAAAGAATGGCGGGTATATTTGCGCGCATTGAAAATCAGCTGACTACTATGACAGCGTTCAAAGCTACCATTAGGCCATAAAAGCCTTCAAAGTAAAGCAAAGCAAACTAAAGTAAGCAAAGCAAGCGTGCATTGGGCCAATACCTTTACTTCGATATTATCCGAAAATGTATTGTCGCTCTCTTTGTCGCGCCACTATGTTCTTTGCCTAATAGCTGAAATACAATGCCGGCGAACGGCGAACTCACCACAGCGAAATACGGGCTGTCAAAATTAGAGCACTCACAAGCATATGATATTTGATCACAGCCAAAGCGAAAAGCGAAGTTCGCTCGGCGGCGTTTTATGGCGATAGAGTTATTTCTATCGCCCTGAGGGGCGATGACAGCTGTAAGTGCCAAAGGTGTCCGCATTTCTTTTTTGCTTCCAAAGTTTTAGAAGAAAACAACATAACGACGAATTATTTTTGTTGTTTGAAAAATATAGTTGTGGATATAGCTTGAAATAAAATAATTTATAATATCTCTCTTTGTTTTCCATTTATATTTGTTAACATTTCCTCATTCTAAATATAGTTTAGTTTTTGGTAATCATGGTATCAGCTGTTTTCGTACCGCTCTAATTTTCTTTAAGTAAGCGAAATAGCTGGGTGAACGGTGAACGTCAGCATCGCCCAATCAGCGAAGTTTGCTGTTCGCCGGTGTTATATTTAAACCATAAAGCTGAAATTAGTCAAGAACGTAAACCTACCGGTACGTAAACCCGAGTCAGCTGACACGATCTGTCTTACCAAAGCGCCATGTAAATGAAAACTCAACACCGCAGAATTTTTCTGTAGTTGTAGCCCGTAGCGCAGAAATCTGCGGAATTTAGATTTTTCCGTGTCAGCTGATTTCTCCTTCTTTAGACGGTTGCCACTTCGTCAGTTTTACAGATGGTAAAAAAGATATAAGTTCCTACTCAAAATATGTTTAAAATATTTGAAATTTACTATTGAATAAGGTTTTTGTTGAAAACTAAGTAGTTTATATTTATCTAAAATCTATTATAGCACGAAAAATTGTAGTTGAAAGGGTAAGTTTATGAAAAGGCATTGATGAGTGGCAACAGTGTAGTAAGCAACACTGAGGGCTCCAGTAATCAACAAAATTCTGCGTATACAGACTACGTTTAAGTACACGTTCTGCGTTCTCGATTAATTTCAGCTTAATTCGAAGAAACTCGATTGTAGTAGCTTCGATTAATCGATGTGCAATGTAATTCGAAAAGGTCTTTCTATAGAAGTATTTAAGGCGTCTGTTACACCATCAATACGGATCTTGCCTGTAGCATTGATGAACCGCGATCAATATCACAAAATTTCTAAATATTGTCAATGAACGTAGATAATAAGAAGGGACAACTCTTTATAATTGTAGCGAAAGTGCGCAAGAGGGGCGTGCTTTCTCTTTTACCCTAGTACGTTTTTCGATTGATTGAAAAGAGAGTGCACGCTCCTGTTGCGCACTTTCGCTACAACTATAACGAGTTGTCCCTTCTTATTATCTACGTTCTTTGATATTGTGGCGATCACTGCGGCAACGCGATGCGAACAACAAGAAACGTAGAATATTCGACAACAAGAAACGTCAAGTGGAATACTGCGAACAGCGAGAGAATGAGAGAAAGGGCGATAGATTGCAGAACGTTCTAGAGTGCGAGCGCAGGTATATAAGGCCGCTGCTACAGCGTACCACAAGTCCAGTTGCGAATCAGCAATCTACAAGTTTAGTTGTAAAACAGAACAATTGCATTAGAAAGTTTTGTAAAGTGTTTAATTTGCTCTAACAAGTGTGAGGCTTACTAAAATCTACTCATCATGTTGGGTCAGCTCCGGATAATGGACCATTGAATGGCTTGGCTGAACTTTTGACCACCATAACCAACGGAGTCTCCAAATAAAAGCGTATCCTGAATTTATACGGAAGCGATTACTATTGTATGTGTGTATGATTCCTATTTGAGGAGCTCCGGCTAATGGCCGCTTAAACTTGGGCGTGCTTAATGAATTGTCTGCGCGGATGCGCTGGCAGGCATTGGAGCCTCTATAACTGTTCATACCTTTCGTTTTTTTTTTGGAATAAGGACTTAAGTATATTCGGAAATTTAGAATTTAAATTGATAAATTCACAAAATAACACAAAATTCATCTCTTTCACAGTCGTTTGTTTGTGTCAGATTTTCTTACATTGTCGCTGTTGTCGTTTCATTTCCCCACACCGCAGGGTTAATTTTTTTTTAAGCACATGCTCTTGTTTTACATAATGAATTCAATTGGAAAACATCATTACAATATAATCTTACAACGGATACTTTTTTTTTAATTTTAAACTTGCATTTAAGAAAACTCTATTCAGTGCTTTATACTTTACCTACATTTTGTTCATAAATAACACATAATTACATATACATATTTTATCCTTGAAAAGAAGTTTTTCTAATCATAACACGCGATGACACGCTTTATATCGATTTTGTCCCATTGTGCATACTTACAAGTGAAAAAAGAATCAAATGTTTTCCAGAAATGCCTCCCAGCTGACATCACCTGATTATTTTTGCTACAGGGTTACACTCAATATATATATAAAAAAAAAAAAAAAAACTTTAATCGAACTCTGACAAAACCAGTAAGAAAGTTCTATTAAGGGCCAATTTCAAATGAATATTTAAACGGCACTTAAGTTTAATTATGGATTGTGGTTTAAATGCCATTTAGCTTTCGTTGGCTTTCAGATCAACTTTGTTTAAATATGCCAAACAATTGGTAGCACTGCTGCTTGTTCCTTAAATTTGTTGTTGCATTTGCTAGTTTGCTTACATTGTATGCTGAACAGCTGATTGTTTTTTGGTGGGACTTGGAGGGACTGATTAACCAACCTCCAATCAATCTTGGTTTTTTGGTTCGAGCACAGGGTTGCATATCTCATATTTAAATAGCAAGTATTGCCCATTTAAGGGCAGTTTAAACGTATGATCTGAAAATTAATAGTGGAAGTTAATCAACAATCTCTACGTAAGTAGGCCATCTGAAATTGGGCCTAGTGTAGGAGTCATTGACCAAAATGCTTTAAAATATTAAAATGCTATATAAACATCGGAATAAATTTAATTCAATGCATATTTTGCCAACTTTTATTATTTTAATAACTTTGGTCTTTTTCTACATCAATTGTCTAACATCTCGACGGGATATATATATATTTTGCAGGTACTTTCCAGGGAGAAGAAGAACATTTGTCACTTACACAATGCTTTGTACCCTTCTTGTACTTGTAAGAAAATTGAGAAGAAAAAGTGTGAAAGTATTGCCATTGTCTTGGCAAAATTGTCTCATGTAAACGCTGTGTAAGTATGCACAATGCTTTGTACCCTTCTCGCAGTTTTTACTGACAATTACAGTGTAGTCACACAATCAAGCACTTGGTTTCAAGTTGATAACAGAATACTGTTTGTCAAAATTCGTTTGAATTGACAACTGTGACGAAGGATGCATGCAACTTGATAGTCAACTTTACTTTCAAGATGCCGTCGTCAAGGCAACAACTTAAAATTCGCGCCTCGTTCCTGCAGTAATATCTTCCTAGCTATTTTTGACTAAATCCCGAAGCACGGGAACAGAACAACTGTGATCAGCTGTTTGACTTGTAACTTGTGACTTGTGTAACCTCCAAGTTAAGCAGCCATAACGGCCCATCTCCACAGGCAACGTTTTTGTCTACATACTGTAATTTTTATTGCCTGATATAAATTTTATCAGATGCAATATTTCAGCGTGGGAACTTTTTATTTTGATAAAAGCATTGTAAGATGGCATCTAACAAGTATTTTCGCCGGACTTAATCACTGAAAAAATTACAAAATTTGCTATTTTACAGCCAAGTGCATAATAACAAATATTTTAATAGAAAACAGCTCAATTTGTGCTTACTTCCCTGCCAGCAAAGAAACGTACATTTTTCCGGCAGTGTAGTCTAGAGCGCTTTTCTGTATCTGGAAACGCATAGAAAACAACTACAGTTTTCATTCAATTTCGTACCCGGAAAACGTTCGAAAAAGATGATGTTATTTAAAAGCAATAATTGTATTTTATTTGTTCAAGCTAAATATTTGAAAGCATGCATGCGTGGTTGGCAAAGGCTGAGCGTGCAGAAGGACGTGCCGCTATTTGTTAGCTTACAGAAGGTAACCGGGTTCGAATTCCGTCAGGCGATTACTAATTTTATTTAATTTTTTTTGAACTATGAAAGAGTATATGTGAATCAAAAAATTTCAGAAAAAACAGCCGAAAATGTATCCGTTTAACAAACAATTTTCGGTAGATGTCTGTACATACGTTTCTGCCGCACACTTTAGTGGGAAAACTGATCGTCAAAGTACCCGAAAATGGATTCGTTAAACGTACAAGAATCCGCACTTCATCCTCTTTTTTCCTTTTTCGGATCGGTTGTCGGATTTTTTGCTGGTAGGCTTATACCATGTTCCGACCGACATCGAAAAGATGTTTTCGTTGCTAAAACTGGTTTCGACCTAAAGCTTTTGTTTTCGTCCATGTAAAATCTGTCAAGCGAAAACCAGTTTTCGATGAAAACTACTTGAAAACTCACGTTCCACTCATTCCAATCGGCGTCTCCACTACTTTTTTTCGATTATTTATGAGTGAAAAGCATCTTGGTTTTGCTTTTGTATAGCAAAACTGTAATCAGAGCATGTAAGAAATGTCAACGAAAACAGTAACAGCCGGTGTGAACAGCCTTCAGCCCACAATCCCAAAACTCGTTTTCAAAGTGTTTTCGTTGTCGGTCAGAACATGGTATTAGTACTCGTGTTTTTCGCCATCTACTCAGTACTTGTTTGAAAAGTATCGATACCAAAATTACTAGGTATCGAACGAAAAGTGTCGAGTATGTACCTTTAATTACTCTTATCGTTTCATTCCTAGATAATCAACGGCGCGCTGTGGAACTAGAGCAACAAATCTGAAAAATACTTTGATTTTAATAAAGCAGTTTTGAATACGAGCAGATATGGCGACAGCTTTTACACGTCAACTTCTTCCCGATGTGAATGACAATGACCTTTATTTCATTCAAAATCAGATGAATAAAATATGCGATTTCTACGATGAGCAGGATTTTATAGATGTTACATTTCAATTGCCTAACCCCACTACTATGTAAGTTTTCAATTGATTCACACCTACATATATAGAATAATTATTTTATTTCCATTTTCACAGGATTCCAGCACACCGCTTGATACTCGCATCAGCAAGTCCTTACTTCAACGACCTTTTCAAAAGCGCCCAGGGCCTAGCTCCTGTTATCGAGTTAAACAACGTAAATAGTGACACCTTTGAGCGTTTAATGACATTTTGCTACACCGGCAAAACGCTCATAACCATAGACAATGTGGATGCAATGTTGAAGGCGGCTATGGTTTTGAAGTTAGATGGGGCCGTTTTGAGTTGCGTTGACTATATTTCCGGGCATATAACTGAGTATACGCTGCAGCGGGCATATTGCTTAGAGAATGAAACTCAGTGTGTACCACTGTACGAGAAACTCTTTGAATATGTTTTAGAGAATTTCATGGAGGTGTGTCTTTTA